GAATACAAGAAAACCCCCTCATTTAACCCATTTCAGCTACCCGTTTTAAAATGATCAGAAAAAGGAATGGGGTTTTGGCCCAAATTTTCCCCCAAAATTTAAAAAAATTGGGCAATTTTTTTAAAAAGGGGTTCAGAATACACACAATTTACATTTTTGGGATAAAAAAAAACCCTTTCTCGGGTTTCCCTTTGTTATGTCTCCAGGCCCCCCCTTTCTTTCCCTTTTGAATTTTTTTTCACAAAAAAAAATATAAGATTTTCTGTTATGCAGGGCAATCTTATGTTAAAATTTTAAAAATAATGTTTAGCACATTCCTAAATGTGTATTAGATGGCCAATTGGAAAGCGATTGGATGCAATTTTTTTACTCTGGCACTTTGGGAAAATTTAACATATCCGTTATTGGAGCTCAACTTCAAAACTTTTTTTTTTGGCTTGAAACCCAATCAAAATCTTTTCTGTTTCCATAAAACTATTTTTCTTTCTATCAAAAGAGCCCAAAAAAATGGAATTTAATCATAAAAAACCCTTTTGAAAATATTCGGGAAAAGTCCCCTGTTTTTAAAACCCGAAATAGGTTTTCACTTTTTTTTCTCAAAAAATGACTGCATGCAGGGAGGATTTTTTTATATCGCAGGGGGCTTACTGCTTTGACCCCTTCTCTATATCTTGTCCCAGGGTTTACCACTCACGCTTACCTGAGGAGCTTTGGGTCATGGCATTTTCTGCGGGGACCAACATTGACTTCAAAGCCATTGGGAAAAAAAGGACCCAAAACTTCCCTTTTTTCAAAAAACAAGCTGAAACCCCCCTGAAGCAGGGGGCCCAAAAATAAAAACAAAAGGGTTTCCAAAAATAAAATTTTCGCCAAACTACCCAAAACCCCATCCCCCCATCTACTTTAAATCCCCTACTCTGTTGTTAACTTTACAAATCCATTTTATTTCCCCAGGCTTTTTTAAAATTTCTTTTTTCTCCAAAATTTTTTTTTTATTTTTTATTAAAAATTTTTTGGGCAGTGCCCCTCCCACTCTATCATCTGCTTTTCCCCTTTTTTACCTCTCTTTTCCCCTTCCATATATTTTTTAAAAAAAAAGCACCAAACCCCTTTTCCAAAACTATATCCCCCCCTGCTTTTTAAAATTTTTCATTTTCCCAAACAAAACCCATGATTTAACCCCCTTTCATTCTACCACGGGCCCCCAAAATTCCCCCCAAAACTCACAAAATCTCTCCTCCTCCCTCCAAAAGGTTTTTATTCCCCCTTTCCCCAAAAAGTTTTGGTTAAAAATTTGGGTTAAACAAAGTTAATTAAAATTTAATGTCAAAAATTTTTTTTTTTTTAACAAGTCGGCCATCTCCCACCAAGGCAGGGTGGAAACCCCCTAAAAAAATACTTTCATTTATCATTCAACACTTTTTACCTCATCCACATAATCACTGTTTTTTTCAGAGGTGCCGAAAAACAACAGTTTAGAAACATATCCCTTTTAAAAAAATACACAACATATCCCTCCAAACTGCCAATTTTCCCCAAAACCCCCCCTTTAAAGTGCAGGCATTGTACTTCCCCTTTTTCCCCTTTTTTTAAATTTAGTAATGTAAAGGGGAAAGGGGGGACAAACCCTTGCTCCCGGCTTTTTGTAAACCCCTTTCGACACCCCAAGGTTACGAAGGAAGAATTCTGTTCCACTTCCCCAGGAGAAAGGGGGGACCAACATTGAAAGGGGTTTAAAAAAAAAGTTTTTTTTTACCCATTAAAAAAAAATTTTAAATGGCCCCCACAAAAGGGGGTTTCAGTTTCAGGGTTGGGCCCAGAAGTTAAGGGGTGCAAAAATTTGGGGGGGCTGCTTAGCGCTTCTTTTTGTTTAAAAAAATAATTTTTGGGGGCTCATTCACTGTTTCCGTCTCTGGCAACTGTCCAGTGTTCATTGATTTTTGTAGTATTTTGCTAGTGGTTCAGGTTGCTTTTTGCTCCTTGCAGAATTTCCCTGGGTGTCCCTCAGTTCCCCTTAAAAATTATGTATTTCCCCCCTCATTCCAAGATTTTTCAACCCCTCCTTCTCTGTTGTTTTGATGTTTAGTCAAGGCTTTAAACCCCGGTTTATACCCTGGGGTTTTTGTACCTGTTGGGGTACCCTTTACCCCTTGGGTGTCTTTGGGATTGTCCCTGTTTCCACAGAGAACACCCTTTTTTAAAAATTTTTAGGTTAAAACTTGCGACTTCCTTTTTTATTTCTTGTGGGTTCTCTTCAGTATTCAGTCAAATTAAAATAATATTTTTTTAAAAAATTGTCTTTCTTCTAATGTGTGCTGTGAACCCAAAGCTTGGGGAGCTTTAAATAAAGATTGGACATGAATGAGAAGAATTGGGTTTTTAGAAGTACCTGCCCATCATGGATCAGTAGGCAAGCTACAGTACATACTTGTTCTTTTTTTAGGGGGGATGGATTTTAAAGGTCCCCGCCGTATGGCCAAAAAGGCCCGCTTGCAGGGGTTTTCCCCCTTTCTTATGTTCTTATTTGGGGGAAAACAATAAAAGTGGGTTAGTGGCTTTGAGTAAATTGCATAGAAAGGGTCAGTAGGCCTAAGGAAAAGCTCCTTTTTTCTTATTTAAAGGGAAGTATTGGTTTAATGACGAGTTGTGTATAAGAGGCTTAGAAATAGGGCCCCATGTAAAATGAGCCGTTAGGATAAAAATACTTGGGCCCAAAACCTAAAAATTGGGGCCAGACCAAGAAGGATTGGATTTCCATGTAAGATTTTTTGGCAAAATTTTTCCATTTGCTGTACTTTTTTATTAAAGGGGATTTTTTAAAATTATTTCTCCCGTTTTTTTTCCCTTTAAAAAGTGGGAAATTTTGGGCCTAAATGAGTTTTTTTGTATAGTATAAAATTTAGATATCACATTTGGGTTTTAAATTAAACCCCGTATGAAATGCTTGCAAATTTTTTTTTCGTTTGTGAAATTTGTGTAAAATTAATTGGTAAGAAAGATTAGTGTGTTGACCGTAATCTTTCCCTTTAAAATTAAACGCAATTTTTTTTGAAAATTTAATTTGAGATTTACAGATTTTCCCTCAATATCATTGGGTAAATTTTTTATGTAGGGTTTTGGGATGGAGTCTTTTGCACTTTTAAAAATCAATATAAACAAAATTTTCTGCTTGATTTATGTTTCCCTTCAGCACAAACCTATACAACCTTAAACATTAATTTTACAAGAAAATGTCTTTTTTGACAAAAAACTTTAGGGTTTCTAAAAACCAAAAATTTTAAAATTTTGGAGACAGACTTCCATATTTAGGTTTTATAACAAAGAAAATTTAAACAGGGAAATTTTTCTTTATTTTCATTAGAAGTTTTTCAGTCCAGTAAATGTTTTTGTTTTTATATCTGAATAATTTTTGTTTTTACAGACCGGGCATACTTTTTTTTTTTGTTTTTAAACATTCACACACTTTTTATTTCATACAGTATACTTTAAATATATTATCAGTCCCCCTTAGTATATTAAAAACAATTTTAATAAATAGGAAAAAAGGGCATGAAATTTTAAAAAAGGGGCCCGGATAAAAATAAAATTTTATCCTTAACTCATGAAACTGAACATTACATAGCTTTTAGAAATTAAAAAGGAGAAAAATTAGCTAACGTTTTCACAAATAAATTTGGGAGTATTATTAAAAAAAATCAATCTTAATGGGAAAAAAAAGTTTAAAATAGAAAAAAGTTAAAATTTTTAAAGTGAAAATTTTCATTTGAATATGAATTACATAAGGAAAATTTAGAAGGGAGTGCATAGTAAATAAGGGGTTTTTTTTTTTTAATAGGTACATAAAGATTTTGATAAGGCACTTAAACCCCCGGTAACAAAAGCAGTTTTTGGGGAAAAGGGGGGAAATTGGGGGGGGGCGGGGGGGGGGGGGGGGGGGCAAAGGGGGGGGGTTTGCAAAAATAAAACTAACTTAAAAAAGGCTTATCCAAACCTATCCCCAATAAAAATCCTTAGGGTTTAAAAAAAAAATTTTTACTTTTTTCTGGGTCGAGGGTAAGGACAAACAGTTTCCTTTACTTTCAGAACAGTGGAGAGAAGAGTTAAGGGCCCCTTGGCTAAAATTAATTCTATTTTTTTTTTTTAAAAGTTATGTGAAGCAGCTTATAAAAATAAAAATTTTAAAAATGTTTAAAAAAACCATGCCCCTTTTTTTTGGAAATACAAGGTTTTTTAAAAAAAGGCCCTGTGGAAATTTATATATTTTTTCGCTTTTTTGGGAAAAACAAAAGAAATTCTGGAAATAAGTTTGCATAAATCCAGGTCAAGAAATTTCTGAGGTTAAACAGCACTACCTCTTAATATTGTTTTTCTCAAGTCTGAGCTACCATTTTAAACATTAGATAAGATTTGTTTTAAACAAAAGTTAGAATCATAATTTCCACCAAATGTCAGCAATAATATCCTCAGAGATACTGTATTGTAATATGAACTATTGTCTTATTTACATATTTAGGGTCTGTGGTGTTTTACAGTTATGAATGTTAATTAAAATTATTGGTAATTTAATTTCATAAAAATTTTGCAGTAGAATAATGTCTAGCATAAAAAATAATGTCTTTATAGCCTTCAGCTCATAACTTCAGAGTTTAATACACTTCATAAAGCTAGTATCTCTGTATTTAACATTTGACATGACTAGTAAAAATTTATGAAAGTTTGGAAACTTTTACAGAAAAAAACATTTAAGCAAAAATATTTAAGGAGACTAGAAGGCACTGATTAAAGTAGATATTAATGCTCAATTTAAGTAGGAAGCTTATATATGCCAATCATTATTGCACATGTTAGAAACTGCTGCACACTTTGTTTTTTGCCATAATTTGTGACTAATTATAAAATATGATATCTGACATTTGTTGAGGAACATTTTCTTTTTCTGATGAATATAAAATCTTACTGAAGATGTAATAGTATATAAAATGTATAAGATTTTTTCTTAAAAAAAAAAAAAAGTTAAAAAAATCTTATACATTACATTTTATATACCTATTATATCTTCAGTGAGATTTTATAGAAGTTATATAAACCGAGTTATTTACTCAGCAGTTGAACTTTAAAGCATTAGATTAAAGGTCTGTAATCAGTTTTCATTGGAAAATATGCTTATTGCTGACTTAAAAGATCAAATTTCTTGAAGAGGTAATAATACTACAATGCACCTCCTGCCTAAAATAAATTACCATATTTACAAATTCTTTCTGCAAAAATGACCAGAAAACAGTATATTAGTCAGATTAATTTTAGTGAAAAATTTGGCTGAAATAGACATAAATTGAAACTTAACAGGAAAAAATGTGACAGATGCAGCAGAACTATGTAACAATCATTTCAGAGGTGCCTTATAACAGTCCCTTAGAAGGAAGTGCTGTATAACAGTCACTCAGGGACACCAGCATGCAGTTTTTATATTTTTACAGCCATTTCTCACATGATCTGAAGAGCTTGGAAGATACAATAGAAATTTATATTTGTATCTCATTATATCATGTTTAAGACTTTTTATTTACATTGCTTTTAACATGTAGTGTACCTTGAAGTAGACCTCTATAGCAATAATTATGTATTACAGCACTCGCAATATTAGAGTAGCACTGGTCTGTACTTGACAGGTGATTAAGGTGCTTATATACCTTTCTCAGTTACTGTACTTAATACACAGAACTACAATGTTCAACATTTTATTCATTTGTATTTAACTCAAGGTACAGTTTCAAATTAAAAATAAAGCACCTGGCAGCTAATGAGCATCTACAAGTTCACTGTTTTTTTCTCCTAAGAAATTTGTATAATATTTTCTTTCAAAAACATTAGAGTAAATCATAAAATAATTTTATGTATGAAAGATGTCTAATATTGTAATGTACCTGTCATATAATTTATTTCTAGGCAATATGCATATAAAAAGCTTAAAATAATTACTGGTATATTAGTTTTTAATACACTATAGTGATAGTAGAACACTTATTGAACTATTGTATACTCAACTTAATCTTTGTCTCAGTTAAAATAAAGACATTAATTTTTTACTAAATATTTATTTCTTTACTAAACAGTGGTCAGTAATAAAAATAATAATATATGAAGTGAAAAAAGCTTGCAATTTCAGAATGTTCTGCTAAAAGCTATTTAAACAAAGACTTCTCTCTTTGATTTAGCTTTTACCTTGGAGGATGCTCCCAGCCCCAAATCGCTGGAAAACCGAAAAGCATAGCCATCACGAATAACACGTGCCCTTCGTGTCATAGTAGCCACACGAGCTATTCTTTCCAATTCTGCACCTTGAGTAACTCTTAAACTTAAGGTACCCTCTTTGCTAACTTCACGATCACTGAGCACTTCCCTGGGTGATTCTTGGTTTGGTGCTACTTCAAGAGGAGTTACCATGCCAGTGAAGGATCGGGTCCGAATTTTTTGAAGCTTAACACTGTCTTGAGAATTTTCATGCTGGTATGAATTAAGGATTGTTAGACTAGCCTTGCGTATTAAAAGGTTGTGTGTGCCAGGTGCTTTTTCTGATGTTATACTTTTAGGTGAAAGATGCTGATCTGATGGTGATAGTGTATTATTATCTTGTAGAGTTTTGTTAGCAATATAATGATCGTCATTTTTAACAGCAAATGTGTTACTTTTAGTAGTACTTTTATGTTCAATAAGCTCTGAATTTCCATGTTTCCAGCATTCTTCATAGTTTTCTAAAGGCTTTTCTGTGGATATATTTGTTGAATCAAGATATGTGTAACCCTCTTCAGGTCTTACACTAACACTGTTGTCATCTTTATTAACAAGTTTATGATCTCTAAACTCAGAATTTTGATTTCCATTTGCATCACAACGTGACTTAGAATTGGTGATTGCAGAGTTGTTTGAAGGTATCGCAGAAGCATTTTCACCTGAAGTTGCCTCAAAGGTATTAGCAAACCTTGCTCGCAGAAACTCCATCTTGCTCATGCCCTTTTGTTGAGTATAGGCTTTTTTTCTGTGGTAAGTTAGCTGATCCTCTCGTAGAGATGTCCTTGCAAAGTTTATCTCCCCATTCATCTTGTGAGTTGGAGACTCTCTTAGAGATGCTCCAGCAAAGGATCTGGCTTTAAGGAGTACTCTCGTATGAGTAGCCATATCAGAAGAAAGCCTGAAAGACTCTGGACGCGCACTTCTGTCTCTATTCCTTGCAGATGGTGGAATGGAAACTCTAGTGCGAACAAAATGTCTTCTTTCTGGAGGACTGAAGCTACCTAGGCTACCTCCAAATGTTTTATACACAGCAAGATCATTAGTGTCTTGGCCACTGTTATAAAGATAACAACTGCTTTTGGAGAGAGGACTGCTACTTGAACTCTGAGGATTAACCTTGGAAATAGAGGATGAATCATCAGTATTTATGCTAATGTTGATGTTAAAGTCCTCATTAGTAGTGATACTATATCTGCTAATTTTGTTGGTAAAGTTGGTGATAGCAGTGGTGTTGCACTTATCCAAATTTCTTGTGTAACTGTCATTATTCCTATTCTTATTACAGGTATAGGTAACATGGATTGCTTCAGTATTGACTTGGCTGGTGTTGCTTGCAGTTTTCAGGTGATGTGGTCTGTGGTACTCAGCCTGAAGAAATAAATACTGTAAGTAATTTAAAATATTTAATTTAACTTTAATTTTGTTTTAATATATATCTATCTTAATGAAATAGATATTAATTTAAACTGCACCATTATATTTTACTGCTTTTAAATTAACCTGCTGAGTGACAGATCATTATCAGAAATATTTTTATATGAAACAATGTTGAAAATATACATATGTCGTGCCGAACAGGCAGAACTTGCGATCTTGGCTTAAAAGCAATGGTCATCTTGCCATATAGGACAAGTAAAAAATTTGTGTATCAATAATTTCACAAAAATCTTAAAAATTATGAAAAAAATATTTTCATTGTTTTTTTTAGTTTTAAAATTTACTGTAAACGTTTTTAAAAATATTTTTAGTAGAATTAGGCAAAAAAAAATTGCGCTTGTTAAATAAGGGTTTAGGTAATTTTTCAAGTTTTTTGGGGTGCAAAATTAAAAAATTTAATTAAGATTAATGAAAAAAATTTTAATCATTAAACGTATAAAAAAAAATTTTTAGAAAGGATTTAATTAAATGATTTCCCTTGTAACTGACCAGTTTTCATATTCAGCAGACAAATTACACATACAACAATAAAATTTAATGAAATAAGATCACAGTAAACGGGTGATTCCAATATGCAGAAAAACCTTTTGAAAAATCATGAAATTCCAACCTTTTTGGGAATTTGTGATATTATATAATGATGTATGTATGATGTATGTCATACCTTAAAATTTTTGTAGTCTTAATGTGGGGCGAAGGTGAGTAATACTTATTTGTAGGATGTCAGGGGTAGGTAGCCCGGGGTCCCCGTCCCAAAATTAATACAGACTGTATTTAAACCCCTTTAGGGTCCAGAGGCCAAATTTTTAAAGTGCCACCATTCCAAGAATTTTCAAAAAAAAAAGTTTTTTTATTTTTTTTTTATAAATGGTAAGAATCTTTTTTTTGAAGGGAATAAAACAAAAAGTACAAAATTTTATGGAAAAAATTTATGTAATTTCACTCTCACGAATTTTGATGGTCAACGATATTTTCGCATCGGCATTTTTGCCGACTTTGACCCCATTTTTGGCCCAAATTTCCCTTTTTCCATCGACCAAATTCTTAGTAATTCACTTATTACTTCTATTCTACGATTGAGCAAAAAATCGCCAAATCAATGTTTCAAATAAAAAAAGGGTGTCGGAAATTGGTAATTTGGCCCATTTTTAAATCATATTCAAAAAATTCCCAATTCAAAATAGGGCCAGAATAAACATGCAGGATTCCTGGCACTAAACTAAAATTTCCCCTTTTCATTGTTACATTTTTAGGCTTTTACAAATGAATTCCCCTTTTATTTTTAATTTACATAATGAATTTTTATTTAAACCAAAAAAAAAAAGATTTATGTCAGCAAAATTTTAAAAAATTTTATAAAAAATACACCACATTTTGGAAGATATTTGACCCACCAGGGGGGTGTATTAAAAGTGAGGTCATTTGTTTTTCCTTGCCGGGAAAAAATTTAACGTTTCTGCTCTTCAAGCCATTTTCAAGCCATTTTCAGTACTACAACCAATCAAAATCATCTCTATTTCTGTAATATATCTTCCATTTTATCAAATGAGACCAAGAAATCGCAAATACAACTATAAAAAAAATACGAAAAAACACTGCAAAGTTGCCGTTTTAATCGAAAATTACAGTCTCAGTTTTTTTTTCCTCTCATTGTGCACTGTGTGCTGCAGGATTTATTTTATGTGGTGCACACATACCACATAGATGTATTCTCTCAGATCTAGGCCCTAATTTACCGCTCACAGCTTATCAGAGTGAGCTGAGCTCATGGCGTAGATCTACAGTTTGGACCCTCAACGTAAAGCCGTAGATCTACGGCACAGACCTTGAAAGGGTTAAAGCAGCCCAGAGAGATAAAATACACATACAGTACATTCATTATTTACCTTAAAATATGTGTAGTCTTAATGTAGAATGAGAGGCGAGTAGTATTTATTTGTAGGAAGGCAGGTGTAGGAAGCCGGTAGATGTAATTATGTAGTCTGCCTGGCTACATAGTAGCTGCACCTACCTACATACCTACATGATATTTAATGCAGCCCAGAGCCATATCATTACCAATGACATAACTTGTTCACTGAGTTTAATCGTTTCTAACAACTACCTTTAGATGCCATCATAAACAAAGGGAGAAGTAATGAGTAATTCATGCTGAGAATTGTAAACAAAAGCGTTGTGTGTTAAGGGGAGTGACTGGGCCAAACGCAGATTCATACACGTTTTCTCTGATGCTGGACCAGAGAAAACACATTTTCCCTCTGCCGAGCTACCACACATCCATAGCATATAAACATAGCATGTTTATATGCTATGTAACGTGTTTCTCATATAATTTTTGAAGAAAATATCATAGATGGATTAATAAAAATGTTTATATTAACGAAAAATAAGACATTTAATGTGCCTATGAGTGATTATTATTACGTATTAGTAATATTACTATGGCGTTAAGACTAGAGGGACACTCTTAGTGATTTTAATATGTACCTGCATGCCAGCACAGTTTGTAAGTATATTTAGGTACAGGTACACATAAGTATAATTATCAGAGTACATATAAAATCTGCAATAACTTTAAAACACTTGAAATTTTGGAAAGTTTCCAGACATAATAGATGTGCTCATGGAGAATGTAAACAAACCGTGTGGGGCACGCCATATTAGAAAGACGAGGAGCCGTATAGAAAGTTTTGGTCATAATTTGAAATCGCCGCATTAGCGAAATGCCTTAAGGCATGTGTGTGTGTACGTATTTGTGGCTTGTACGTTGGATTGTGTGTGGCTGGCAGTAACAGCCTGGTTGATCAAGCCCTGATCTACTGTGAGGCATGGTACCCTCCAGGTATATGTATGTATGTGTGGTGTGCCAGACTCCAGTCCACATCAGGACTGGAGTTTGGCGAAGTGGATAAAGTACTGTGTACGTGAGCTGAGTTTTCAGG